TCATTGCTAACTTAAGAGAAGTGGTTTCGATAATGCGATGGGGATAGGAGTGAAATGAAAGAAAATCTAGGAGGGGGGGGGTAAGCAACTCATGGATGGATAAAAGCTGTCAACGTTTATTAGAAAATTCTATGAAATAATAACTATCGGTGCTTATGATAATTGCAGATCTTTCTAAATTGAATGCAACTTGAGCTAACAATTCAGAAGCAATAAATAAGAGGTGTCAGGAGAGGCCATATTACTGCAATTACACTATTTCAGCAATGGTAAAAAAAAAAAAAAAAAAAAAGGTGTGTAAATGTGGCCAGGTGCAGTGGCTCCACCTGTTACCCAGCACTTTGGGAGGCCAAGGCAGGAGGATCACTTGACCAGCCTGATCAACATAGTGAGAGCCTGTCTCTACAAAAAACTGTAAAAAATAAAAATTAGTCAGGTGTGGTGGCACACACCTGTGGTCCTAGCTACTTTGGAGGCTGAGGCGGGAGGATCGCTCAAGCCTCTAAAAAAAAAAAAAAAAAAAAGTATAAATCTACAGAGACTAAACAAAAACTCTTAATATCCATGTTTTTTCTGAGGAAAGCCCACAGTTTTCTCTGAACTAGAAACAATACGCATCTGTCTGGGTGCTTTCTGTTTCAACTGGGGAAATAAATGGGGATTTGAACCAATCTGTTACTGGCAAGACTCTTTCCGGCACACGGAGTGATCCTATGAGTTTATCCAGATCTGAATCAAAACCAAAAGCCCGTGGTGAGAAGTTTTATTGGTTATACATTCCAGCACAAGGTACTCTAGAGAAACAGAAAACATGAGTGTTAACTTCAAATGCTGCATAATCCAACACTTAATACTTAGATATTCAGGCTATCGAAGTTGTACACGTGGTGAAATGTCTGTCGGTGGAAGTCTCGGGATGCAGTTCTGTCTATTTCGTAGCATGCACGTGTAGCATGCCATACTGGATACTTACTCGCGCATAACTGTGGACAGGTCGATAAATTTATACTTAATATTTACTGATTTACTCATGGAGGTCCAGACACGTTATTAAGAGACTAGTAACGCTCAATCTAAACCAAAATATTCTCTTTGAATTGTGAAAGGGCCTTTTGTTTCTACCATGCCTCTTTTAACAGACGAAGTAAATTAAACTATTCATGCCAACGAAAATTGCCCTTTTTGTTGTGGTTATTTATGCTGAAATATGAGTCGAAACTTTGTTGGCAGAAAAGTTCACAACAGAAACGTGATTTCAGTAAAACGCCAAGTGATAGCCAAGCTCAATGAGGAGAGTAACCCACACAGAACCTAGTAAAAGTACTATTGCATTGGCTTTGGGGGTGTTTGGGGAGCATAGCTTTATGTCAGGCTAAAAGAAAAGCAGACCAATGACAAGACCTCAACTGAAGAAAAGTTGACATTATTTTGCCCCCCTCCCTTTTTTTTTTTTTGCTTTGAATTAAAAACTAGTTTTAAAAGAGATGAGCCTTCTTTCTTAAAAATTACGTATCTTTTCATGGGTTAGGAAGAACATATATCACACGCACACACATACACACAGGCTCGTGGTGCTGAATTTAACAAAGCCGAACAGGAAACTATATCAGAACCCTTGTAAATATAAACATCTTGTCATTAAAATACCCAGAAGGAGATCTCAGAATCTGCACTCAAATACTAAGGTAACTATGTAACTGTATTTATAAAATAAGCTGCCTCCATTTATATTACAAAAATACCATCACTTAATTATTTATGTCACAACATTTTGGAGGTTTTTATAGCTCTTTAAAATTCCTGTACAATATGTATTTTACCAATCAGGTAAAATGCTACAAATATTGTATTTTAAAAAATTATTTTCCACTATGTTTTTCTTTTGAAAAACTATTTGTTTACAGAATGCAATGTTTTCATTCAATTCAAGCTTCAGCTGCTTGAAATCCTGAAACAGCTTTTGCGCTTTCAAAAATCACAATTCATAAAAGGCATTTATTCCATAGAATTAAAGTTTACTCAATAACAAATATAATTTTAAGTGGTACAAGCTTCCAGAACCCTCGAATGTCAAAGTTAAAGCCAATAGCCCCCTTCATGATATTTGCTGCTTTGGAAAAGGAAAAGCAGCAGAACGAGAATGATTAAGTGAAGGCAATTTCATCTTTGAATTTCTTCATCTTCGTGTATTTGCCATGCATAATAATTTAAATATCCCCTGAGGTTAATATTTTCTGGCTCGATGTGAAAGTACAGGAAAATTAATATATTCATGCATAATATGAGGCAACAGAGACTGGAGCATCGTATTTGTAGCAAATTTTATTTTCAAATAGCCATAAAAGATATCCAGTTACTCCAGATGAATTTATAAGATCATGCAAGGTGTAAACAGGAAGTTCCAAAGGAAAAAAAAAAAAAACCAAAAACGTTCCTGACAATTCTATAGTAATAAGTGAGGGAAAAACACACAAAAATGTACACCAGGAAGTTTCTACATATGGCTAATACCTGGATCTTTATGCTTGCTTGCTTTTTGTCATTTCAGCACAGGATAAAATGGAATGCAAAGAAGCAAAAATTAATAATCCAAGGGAAGAAAGACTTATTAATGTGATACATGAGAAGGGGGGGTTAACTATATTAATATTCACAGAGAAATGTTGCAAGTGGGGAATGATGTTAGATAAAATTATCTATTTTGCAACACATTTAAAAAGAAATTTAGTTGTGACACTAATATTGCTACTTACATAATATTTATAGACTTTTCCTTGAGTATCATGCACAGTTCTAGTTCTGAGAGCTTCTTTTTTTTTTGCTATGTAACCAGGTAAAATAACATGGAAATCTTCCCAGAGGACGTTTAAAATGATATTTTAACTTAAAATTATAACTTATTTTGAAAATAAGGTAAATTATAATATTTTTTCTGGAAAAAAAAAGTTATAAGGGCAGAGTATTATAAAAAAAAATATCCAAAATCAATAACAAACCATAAAGAGAAAACTTCACATGGCTCTAAAGCTAAGGATTGTGGCTTTATGTTAGAGGGTTTTTATTTATTTTAACATTCAGAGTGGGTTCCTGATTACTAAAAATAGAAAATAGATCCCAAAGGCCAATCCAGAAATTATAGGCATGGTTTCAAAGAAAATTCAATGATATTCCTTCAATTCGAACTAATCTCTACTGCCCTTATTTTGCCATGGTGTCTAGAGACTAGAATCATGTAAAAGGTATTGAATCACTTGGAGAGTAACAAACTCTCTGTAGGTAAAGCTAGCTCTGCTTATAACGTAAGTTTAAAATGAAGTAGCAAAACGCCATACAAAGCTAGGTGCTTATTTTTATGACAGTGTTATCCCTGACATTCTCTGTAAGAGCCCAGAACGACATGACTTCAAATTCCCACTCCAGAGCTTCCCATTTCTAATGCTTCCCACCACAATATCCCTGGCAGTCACGCTGCAATAGAAAATGAGATGATATTTATATGTGACTAATAAAAAAAAAAAAAATTCTTCACCTCCGAAAAAAAAAAAAAAAAAAAGGGTTATTGTAAAAGAATCCACTGGGATTGTGTTAAATAAAGCAATTTGCTTTTCAGGTGATGAAAAAAATCACTAAGGTTTCAAAAGCGTTTGCTTGGGGTCCTCTCTTACGGAGTTTTGTCCTCATTGGAGGTGTCAAAAACCTACCCACTGTGTAAGCCAGCATTAAGGTGGCTGTTCAACCAAAGCTCACGCACGCTAACTCTCAGGAAAGCCCTTTTCGCCCAAGACCAATTTGCCAGAAGTTAGACTAACCCAGGCAATTGGGAGGTAGACGCTATGAAAATGCCGTGTCCTGCTCCCGGCTAAGAGGGTCCGCATTCCTCGCTTCCACACCAAAGAGCAAGCGTGCAGCTGCCCGGACTCAGACACGGCCCCCGTCACAGGAAAGCGTGCCGGACCTTCCAGCCCTGCATCTCATGCCTTTCCTCTTCCCACTCATATAGTTAGTACTCCTTTCTTTTACTTTTTTTTTTTTTTAAAAAATGTGCCTGTTTCAAATTTGCATTATTTTTTTCAGATGTCTAATTGCAGCTACGTTCTTTCCCTCTTTGGTCTCTTCCCACATTTCACATACCAGACAAATATTTAAAGGCCTGTGAAACCAGGCGAGGTTCCAAGATATTTCTAAAGGAAACTGCCATAGGTGACAGAACAGGGAAAGAAGGCAAAGCCGTAGGGCAAAGATTTGAATAAACTGGCTGGAAATGTATTGGAAAATCTATTTACGTTGCTGTAGCCAGAGATGAGGTTTCAATGAGGCATAAACATTCAAGTTACTGACAAAACCAACATGTTTCATGATCACTCAGAATAGCATACTTGTCATGGTGCATTGCTTTTTTTATATATTAGTAAGTTGCTCTCTCTTTTTTTAAAAAATTGTTTCTTTTTTAGTATTCAGGAAGGGAAAGCATTGAAGAAAACATTCAAAATTCTGAGAATGCATGTAAGTGAAATATTTAATGTCTGTCATTCATAAAAGTTACATCATTTACATAGGGTTCATTTGTATATAATAAAAATTTCATCATAATGAAAATTTTTCTGGAAAGCATTTTATATGTTAATTTGTTTAACATATGCTTTGGATATACAGCTAAATAGGAATAGTTAAAAAAAATCTTTCTTCAAATATTCCCTTTAACAATTAAAAAAACCTCATTCCTAAATATTTGCTTTTCTTTCCATTTGTCCTTTGTTTGTAATAATCATATGTAACTTGAACCATGCAAAGATTGGATCTTTTCATAGTTCAGAATATATTTCTACACTTCATAAATTTATTCATTGCATAGCAAACATGTAAACTCACAGAGGATCTGTAAATGTTACCCTAATAATCTAAAAAAAAGTTGCTTAAAATTTACACAATAGTTTGTTCTGAGCTTTACTTTCATTGCAATTTGGGTTAACTCTGTTTTTGTTTTTCAAACGTGTGCCAATTGAATACAACTAATGAAAATTAAGTCATGAAAAGTTAAAAACCAAGTAAGTCATTTTATCCATGATTACTAAAATTTAACCTTGTTCTAACGTTTAGATTTTTTCATAGCAAGTTGTAAATGTTCTGGGCTGCCTCTTTAAGACAGTGTTCAAAATTAATTTCAACAGTGTATTTAACATAAAGTTAACTATGTTTGCATCAAATAAAATGTTTATTAATGAAAGCTATTTATCATACAAGGAACAGCAAAGATAAGTCATCATACAGAGATGTACACTAGAGGTGAAAGTGCATGCAGAGATTTCTGTTTAAAAAGGAAGTAATAAACAATGATACTAAAATTACTGGATTTTGATCCCTATACTCTTAAATGAATGATAGCTTTTCTTTGAATTTACAATTGGAAAATGCCATTAACAGGACTAATACACATTAGCAAGCAGGTGAAATGAATGTTTTTTGGACTTTATTTTACAACTATTTGTGCTTGACAAATGTGTGGAATCTTTTTTTTCAGTAAAATTTTTCTTCAAATATGGGGTGGGCATATTACTGCCAGGTTGCTCTGGTTTATACAAGGTTTGTCTAACTTTGTTTTAAACCACATAATTTTAAGCCTTCATTTGTGTTAGACACCATAAAGAACACAAGCTTTGTTAACATTCAATAAATGACATTTAAGTCTCTCTCTCTCTCTCTTTCTCTCTCTCTCGCTCTCTCTTTTGGCTCAATAAATTTTTAAATGTATGATTATCATAACCTAATAGTGTCTTTGTCTTCACTGCAGTGGATTTCCGATCAAACTTTTCCCCTTCTTTTAATACTTTAGGGAATTTTCAAACGTCGGGATGTTTGGCTGTAATGCCCCAAGATTTGTTCTCCCTGAAAAAAATCATAGTGACAATTTATTAACTACAGAGCAACGTGGCTTTTTAGGGGTCTTCAATTTCTATTTAGATTTACAAATATCCATTTGTGCTCAATAGACCTCACATTAAATCTTAATCATATTTAAGGTTTCTTTTCATGCAATCACTTTATCTACTAATTATCTTTTTTTTTATTCTAAAAATTGGACTGAGTCAAATCAGTGGGGCATTACTTTTATTATAAGCAAATATATTTAAAGGTAATTCTAGGTTGAATTACATTGCATGTGCAACCGTGTGTACATTTAATATGAATCAGAAGTTTGAAAATCTAAAAACTATTTGTATGTTTTAAATATTTTTTTTTAATTTTATATTACCATTTTAATAGCTTTTACATAGAGATATTTGGAAACACACTAGTACAGTTAAGACTTAAATAAAAACTGGTGGGAAATAAAACTCTTTAGATTCAAAATGGTTTATTCACACAAATTTAATAGGATATATCACAATTGTTTGGTCCATAAATATTTAGGGGAAATAGTTTCTATACAATGCATTTATCAATAAACAAAGAAACATGGACAATTTTTGCTAGACCACTTACTGTACTATAAACACGAAGCTCAATATATAAGATTATTGAATTTATCAACTATATTTGAAAAGAGTGCACACTGCTTTCTATGACATGTCTGTTTCGTCTAACAGGAAACACCATAAAAAGAGTTTCAGAAATAAGAGGTGAAACAGTACAAAACTAGCGAGGTGTCAAAAGGGCTTAAAACAGTTAACAAACAACACATATATCCTGATTTTTCACAAACTTACTTCCAAGTTATATCATAAGGCACATAGGAGAACTGAGTTATAATTAGTCTACTTAATAAAGTAGATCTATAGTACCATATATTGTTCTGTCAAAGAACAAAATTTATAAGTGTCAATATTTTACCTGTAAAACTGTATTAATAAGATCTCAGCCTTACCAAGGTTGTTTGGTCTGGTTAGTGGTAAATGCCCAAAATGTAAGAGAAATATGAAAAGTCAAGATTTAAGCTCCATAGAAGATGATAACCACACTTGCTAAATATATAATGGCAGTCACACCTCTCTTCTGTTACAGTGTTAACTTATCTTCCATCATCTTTTTTTTTTTTAAAAAATAAGCTACTTTCTGTGCTAATTTTCTAAAGACCCTGAGCAAAAGTTACAATAATGCACTTTAATGTGGGCAGTGAACTGTCAATATGTAACCACACATTTATACAGCCAGAAGGACACCTTTAAAATCTATTAAATAGCCACTTAGACCACCAGAGGAGATTCAAGGGGTCCAAAAAGTGGAGAATATGTGCAAAGTTATTCTTAACAATCCACTAAAGCAAGACATATATCTTGACTTCTTTTTTATTTTGTTTAGGAAATCCACAATCTAATTGGTATTTAACTACAACAGAAGCATATAGATGAACATTCACCACTGCCCAGACCATTAAGATTTTAGCTTAAATTAAAGAAAAAGAAAATGCTACTGTAAACTAGGAAATATATTCAGATCAGCATCCACAAGGCTTCCGAGTTTATCTGCTTTAAGACTAATAACTTGAAATCTCTAAAGTCAGAAAAGGGTGTTTTTTTTTTTTTTTTTGACACATCAACTCAACCTGTGCCAAGATTAAAACAAAACCAAACCAAAGAATTCTCATTGTCAGTATTAGTCTATCAGGTTGGTTTTTTTTAAAAAAAACATTATTCATATAGAATGCCAGATACAATATGATGGTACAGCTGAAGCCAATTAATAGAGCTAGTAATTAAATGATACCAATTTTTTGACTCCTTAAAAAATTATATCTTGCTTATTTCCATTTTCCCTGGGGGGAAAAAAGTAATTTAGAAGGAATGGTTTCAGAGAGCTTTTTTGAGGGAGGGGTGTTGTTTGTTTGTTTGCTCTAGGAGGGTAAAAGTATAGAATTTCAGACTCTGTGTGGAATTTTCATGGATACACAGGGAGTTTAAGTATTTTTCGAATGTTGAAAAACAAGTAAGTAAAAAGTATTTTAGGTGTACATCCTAAGAGAGAAGGAAAAGTCACATTTTCCTGGAAGAGATTTCTCGCCTAATTAAGCAATACTATTTAAAATTTCTATAGTGAATACTTCTGTTTAATCGTATTCCTCGTTTGAATGAACAGTTCAGACAAGACAGAGAGATGCTCAAAACACTTTTTTTTCCAGTTCTAAAATTTAAAAAAAAAAAAGAAGAACAGGAATGTTTTCGAAATTCCACAATCCCACTGTACAGTGATAAGATTTTAAAAATAACTCTTTCAATTCATTATCTGGTTCTTTATTAAAACCTCACCACTTGGGGGGGGGATAAAAAATAAATAAAAAATAAAACCTCACCACTTAACTGGGAAATTTGATGACCTGCCCATAAGAAGACCACTCTTTTTTTTTTTCCCCCCTTTCGAGGTTCTGGAAATAAGTAACATACAATTTTAAGAGGCACTTGTTAGAATGATTCAAAAACTCCCCTTCCCGACCGAGAAAGACCTCATCATCCGTGAAAGGAAAAAGGAGGCAAAAAAAAGAAAAAAAAAAAAAGGCAAATGCACCTTGCAGACAAAATGCAGATTCCCCGGAAAGGAGGCAATCCTGTGCACTCATTGGCCAAGTGGCTGCAGACGCTACACACCAATAAAAGCTGCTGCTTTTATTCCCCAAATAGCTCGTGGGTGAGAAGGAGGGACAAAAAAAAAAAAATCTTGCAAATAATAAAATAATAATAATAATAATTAGAATAATAATAATCAAAAGAAGAAGAAGAATTTAAAAAAACAAAAAAAACAAAAAAACCAACCCACAAAAACCAATGTTAGAAAAGGTTCGTTAAGGTAGTCTGTGAGGGGCTGCCGGGGTCGCGGCCGTCCACACCCGCGGTCACGGCCACGACGGCGACGGCCGCGCCGGGCAGCTCGGGCACCGAGGTCGCAGGGCCGGGGGGGCTGAGCGCGCCGTCCGCCGGGGCCGGGGCGAGCGCGGGGCCCTCGGCCTTGTCCGCGCCCCCGCTCTCCTGCCGCAAAAGGTTCCTTCGGAATTTGGCGCGTGCGTTTTGGAACCAAACCTGCAAACCAATCCCAGGGGAGGTCTTTACCGGTGTTCGCTGCGGCATGCTTCTTTGCTTTCTCTCTCTTTTTTTTCTTTTTTTTTTTTTTGGAGATATTTTTTTTTTTTTTTTGAGACAGAGTCACGCTTTGTTGCCCAGGCTAGAGTATAATGAGATTTACTGAATACATTCCAGGTCTGTGGTGTGGTGCGATGTTAAACACTTTGTTTAAGCTTTTTTTTTTTTTTTTTTTTTTTGGAGATATAATTTTTATGTTTTTAAATATAAATATATATATATTTTAAATATGGACATGATATCTCGAAATAAATGTTTTAAATATAACTGTATTTTTCTGGGGAGGGGACTTTTCTTTTCCTTCCTTCCTTCCTTCCTTCCTTCCTTCCTTCCTTCCTTCCTTCCTTCCTTCCTTCCTTCCTTCCTTCCTTCCCTCTTTCTTTCTTTCTTTCTTTCTTTCTTCTTCTTCTTTCTTTCACAAAACAGGAATCATCTCAGTGCACTGGCAGGCTATGGTTCTCTCCCTTGCACATATTGTTCCACCCCCCTTGGTCATGAAGTGCCTTTTTTTTTTTTTTTTTTTTGAGATGATCTTGCTTGTTGCCCAGGCTAGAGTGCCGTGGGTCAGCCTTATCAGCAGCAACCTCACGCTCCTGGGTTCAAGCGATCCTCTGGCCTCGCCTCCCGAGTAGACTGGGACTACAGATGCGCCACATGCCAGGCTAATTTGTTATATAGTATTTTTAGTTGGTCTGGTAAATTATTCGTAGTTTCGCGATAATAGAAAAAAAATAGACCCGTCTTATTGGGGATGCTCAGCTGTCTTGACCCCTGAGCTCTCGGCCTCCAGAGTGCTACGGATGCAGGTGTGAGCCACCTAGCGCCCGGCGACAAGGTGCCTTTGAAACAGGATGTCACGTGGACACACCGTGGGAATAGGGCACAGGTAGAAGACAGGGAAGAAAATACACCCTGATCCTTCACTTATGGGGAGGGGAGAGGAGGAGGTAAGAGAGAGAGGAAGAAAGAGGAGGGAAGACGGGTGAGGAGGAGGAGGAGGAGGATGGGGAGGAGGAGGACAGGATAGGAGGAGGAGGGAGGATGGGGAGGGGAGAGGAGAAGGAGGACAGGAGGAGGAGGAGGATGGGGAGGAGGAGTGAGGAGGACGGGAGGAGGAGGGCGGGGAGAGGAGGACAAGGAGGAAGAGGAGAGACGGATAGGAGGAGGGAGGACCAAGGAGGAGGAGGACGAGGAGGAGGAGGAGGAGGACGGGGAGGAGGAGGAGGACAAGGAGGACGAGGAGGAGAGAGGCAGGGCAGTTAAAAGCGAGGCGAGATAAGACCCACTCGGGAAATGGACAGCCAGGAGGAGGACAAGGAGGACGAGGAGGAGAGAGGCAGGGCAGTTAAAAGCGAGGCGAGATAAGACCCACTCGGGAAATGGACAGCCGTGGAACAGGCTCCAAGCTAATGAAGAGTCTGACACGTGCACGTTTTCTTCGCACAGGAAAAGTTTTCCAGAGCCACAGACCTCAGACGGCCTGAAACTGCTCAGCAGGATTCAAAACGCCTGCTATTTGCCACTGAGAAGTGGGAGAAGATCGCACGTGACTTACAGCAACCCATTATAATTTCATTCGCTGTCTATTCTTAGCAGGATGAGCTTGAGAAAGAAACTGGACAGCAAAACCGACACCCAGCATTTAGCTTTTAATTATGGTTTGCGAGGGTTTGTTACAGTCGGTCGCTGAGGCACTGACCGTACTTTTAGGAGTTGGAGAAAAAAGGGGGGGGGCCAGCTGAATGTGGAAGGTCGTGGCACGGGAGTGAGGCTGCTGAGAGTTTGCGGGAGTTAGTGCTGGCAGGGCCCCTGTGAGCCCGAGCGAAAGGAAACCTCTGGAGCCTGCACAGCCCGTGCAAACAGCATCACTGGCATTCACACGGCAGCAGTGAGGCAAGCTGTGCTGGCTCGGGAGGACCCGTCTCCCCACCTGTGGGGGGAATGAGGCTGCATCTAAGAAGACTCTGGGTCCCTGACTACCCTCCAGGAAGCCCCTGCAACATCTCGGGGTACCTTCATCTCGGGGTACCCTCATCTCGGGGTACCCTCATCTCGGGGTACCCTCGAGGGAGGGAACTGACATACACCAGTAAGCAGCAGTATGAGAAATACCCACGTGGCGCCAACCAGGGAAGAGAACCGTTCTTCCCGGCAAGGGGAAGGGAGACGTATGCACCGTCAAAGAGGAAGGTGTCTTACCTGCAAAACTCTCTTGGTCAGGCCTGTTTTCTGGGCGAGCTGCTTGAGGTCCTTGGCGTCCGGGTTGTGGTTGATGGCGAAGTAGGACTTCATGGTCCGCAGTTGGTGGTGCTTGAAGGAAGTCCGCATGCGCTTGGTCTTCTGAGAGGGCGGGTAAGGCTGCTGGTCCCTGTCCAAGTGGTCCGCCTCGTTCTCATTACAACCTGTTGCGGCAACAGCAAACAGAACGGCTGCTGAGCAGGAAACTTCTGCATCGGCTGAAATGATGGCAGGTGGGCGGCGCCGCAATGAAAAAAAACAAGGTGATCTCGGAAAAAAGCCTGTCGACCCCCCCGAAGTATGGAGAAAGAATTGCCAAAGGGAGCCAAGCTGGTCTGATATTGTGGCTACATAAACTGAAGTTTATGTCGCTTATTAATTAATTTATTGACTTAATTTAGTGTTTATTAAATTTTAAATTTAAATTAGGTATGTGATTAATTTAATATTAATTAAGTCCTCTCTTTTGCTTAATGGTTGCTAGAAAAACTGGGGAAGATTAACAAGCCCTAAGTCGTGACGTGGGACTAAGACCTCCAAGAGTCAAAAGACGAAAGCCCTTTTCTGATACAGTCCAGTGTGTGTGTCGGCCGCCCCACTGCCCACACTCACTCACAGTTCCTCTGAGACTCTACATCTTGTCCGGGTCTCTGGAAGCAGACAGAGTGTCCGAAGGCATCGCTTTTTGTCCTAAGGCGTGTGGCAAAGCAAATGTCTCTCAAGTCTGAAAGTTTCTGGGAGCCTCCCCAACCAAGGGAGACTCTAAGTCAGTCTCAGATTTGAGCCTTATCCCTGGAGCTTTTTTTCAAACAGGCAAAAGAAAGTGGCTGGGAAAAGGAGGGAGGAAGCTGGGGAACGAAGAATTTGCAAATTTTGTTTTGTGAACATGCGAATATTATTTCTGAGAGCCTTTAGCTCTAACGGGTTATGATAGCACCACACCAGGAGGAAAATATTTCCCCCTGGAGTTTACTTTAATAAATATTTCTAAAAGGGAATGAGCCCAGACTTCTCTTCACTCCCTTCATGCCCGAAGCGCCCCCCACAGCTCACAGCCAAGAGGCTCTGACAGTATTTATTTCCCGACTCAGGTCGTGGTCCCTGTTGCTCCAGACGTCTATGAGCGGGATGTGAGCTGTGCCCACGGCTGGCCTGGCAGAGAAAGGGCGGCATCTTCTCTCCCCTTTGCAAAGCCTTTCTCCGCCCCAAGGGCAAAACAATCCCAGTCTTTGAAACCAGCCAGAAAGTCTTCCTCCCCGGGATGTAAAGCCGCATACTCAAAAGGTCATTTCCCATAATCTCCTGGCTCTGCATAGGAAATATAATTACAAATGAAAATATGGTGCTAAATATTTACTGAATCGGCCAACTTCACAAATTAAAGGGCATGGCAATTATTTTCTTTAAAATCCTTATTACTTCAGATGGATATTCGGATCCAATCATCCTGCACTTTAGTGTGTTGTAATAGAAGAGAGAAAGGCAACCTCACCATGCCATTTGAGGAAGAAGAAACTTGAATCTTAAAAAAAAAAGTGAGGCATCCCTTGACATGAGGTCTTCCATTCTGCTTGATAAAATAGTATCTGCCTGCTATGCTCTGGTTAGAATCCCTTGTTTAAAGATATTCAGCCAATCACATATTTATAGAAACACAGAAGTTTAGAGTCATCAACCAAGAGGCCAGCCACGTACAAAATTCATTTAACAGGAAATTCCTCCTAATGTCACAAGATGCAGGCATGAACTAATGTCTCTCCTTTGTTTGCATTTCCATAAGACACACAAGAAGGAGCACGCACTTAGCAAAAGAGCAGGTAAGTTCATTGAGGGAAAAGACCGTATCATATTCACCTTTGGATTCCCTGAGTCAAACACAGGGTCAGGAGCTCAAGAAGCGTTCAACCAAGATTTTGAAGCTTTGGCTCATCAGCAAGATTACAAGTGAATATTAATGCCAAATTAAATCAACTTGAAGTGGAATCCAAGCCAGACATACATTGAACATGAGGCTTCTTAAACTCCACCAGAGAAAGTAACCATACACCCGGAGGTAACACAGAGAGCATACTTTACATTTTATCCTATGTCATCCCAGGGGGGCTATGTCAAGTTCAAATATTCTACAGAATTGCACTTCCAGATCCTCAAATGGATGAAACAGCATCTCTATGACCTACTATAAAACTCTACTTATCTCCAGTAAACTGAGCTATATTTCACAACCAGATTATAAACACACCCACCACAAAGTGGTCAAAGAAGCACACATTAGCCACTGGAGGCTTCTTCAAATAAGATCTCATTCCTATCATATGTGAACAACATGTAACTTTTCCTGAACAATACATCAAATTGAGTATTACACTTAGAAGACTTAATGCCCTTAGCCATTCCTCACTCAAGGCGGTTCTTTTTATAAATGACTATGGTTCCCAACCCCAGCTATATAATCATTCATTCTTAAAATGAAGTTTATGAAAAATAATTGTAGCACTATTTGACGAAAATGAAATTGCTTCCATGAATATGCACTCTATACTCAATATTGCTGGATTTAAGACTCGGCGGAGTATTTTAGTGCATTAAACACAATTACAGGCCTCCCTTCTACATAAAATACACAATTCAATGTGTAAGGAGATAGGTCGTCCGATTTTTATTAAACAGCACTGTATGTGATTTTCCTGTGACCACGTTATCACATATTATGCAACTGAGAGGGACATCCATTTCTTCCACAGAGTAACTCAGTGCATCATGCCACATCATTTCCATTTAACTGCAAGTGAATTATGCAAACTTGCAGATTACTGAGTTTCCTCAGGTCTACTTCTAAAACTATAGGGGTCTTTTCTCCCCAAATTGTGCGATGAAATAACTCTTAAATTTTTTTTCTTAAACGGCTACCTGTAAGTACACATCTGGTATTATAAAGTTAGTACGAAGATCTGAATATTTTATTTTCAGACACATAGGAGATAGTCAGTCATCACCTATCCCAAAGTGAGTCTGCTCCGAGCCTGCAACCTGCGGAGAAGTAACTGAACCCTGGAAGACCACTAGGGGTCAGTGCCAGGCTAATTTAACCACCAGGAGCCTGAAGCTTGAATGGGAAGAAAGAACCAAAGGAAGGAAAGGAAATTTTGAGAAATGGCAAAAGTTCGGTTGCTCTCAATTAATGCTAAATTACCAAAATACGATCTGCCTATACCAAACTAAATTTTCTTTTCACCTCTTGAGGGCCTTATTTCAATACAGCATTTCAGATAAACTTTCCATGCCTCTTTCTTAAATAATATCTGCCCGATTGATTTGCACAGAGGTATAAACTAAATTAAGAATATTCTCATTAAAAAGGCAGTTTGCCTTATGTCCAGCACTAACTGACCTTTGCCAAGTTTCACATCTTCCCTGAGAGTCTTTAAATCATAAACGTGCTTTTTGTGCATTTAAAAAAAAAACACATATCACTGTGTCAATTATACTTGATTTAGTATCAATATTACCCTTTATGACACTTGTTTACATTTAAGCAGAGATGGCAATATAAAATCCAAAGAAGACTAAAATAATTTAAAACTGTGGGTCCATTTTATTTTCTACAGCTTAATCTGTTTTTAATTTACTAAAGGCTTTCTTTTCCCAGTTTTGTAACAAACTAGCATTCAATTCTTAAACATTTTTAAATAATGGGCTGATTTCTGGTCAGGCATCTTTAAACCAGTTAATCTAGATTATTTTCACCTACTCTTTAATATCTCTCTCTCTCTCTCTCTCCTCTCTCTCTCTCTCTCTCCCCTATCTCTGGGTAAAGTCCAGAAAGGACGGGTGGAGTATTCAGTTTGCAGCGACCTGACTTACAAACTCTTTGGGTTAAGGGGGCCCAGCCACTCTTCCCTCCTTCCGGAGCAGGACAATATCAACCTTAACAATTTGGAGCAGCACTACAAATCAGCTCAGAAGGAGATTTTCATTATTTTTAAGAAAATAAATTTGCACCTCCTAGTTCTCTTCAGAGAAGTAAGAGAAGCTAGATTCTGCTGTTCTTAGGGCTCCTTGGATCTTTCTAACATACAGCAAGATCCAAGGTGAAATCAGATTCAGATAATTACATTAAATAAACAAGTAAAAAGCCAGGATTGTGGCCTTTTGGCTAGAAATCTCCACCCTTGCCAGGGCTTTATCCTGGCTGAGGGATTCCCTCTCTGCAAAAAACTCGCTAGTTATATATATGTGTTTCTCTCTCTCCCCCTTCTCTCTCTCTCTCTCTACCCCCCCCTCTCATTAGGGCAGTCGGGCCTTGATGAGTGGCTCGAGATTCCGATGTCACCTTCTATTAATAAAGAACAATTAGTGCCCCGCCTGCCCTGCCCGGGGACCACGCATCAAAGGAGATGAAGCAGGCTTGCGGGGGCAAGGTGGCCCCAGAGCAAATCCCCTGCCCTGCGCAGCAGGGGCGAGGCCGGGCGCAGCTCGCTATGGAGGCTGGCAAAACCCAGGCTGTGCCGGCTGCCCCCACCCACAGGACCCTGGTGGGGTGCACAGGGAGCCAGCCAGCGCACTTCCTGCGGTCCAGCCCCCCTGGCATGAAACGAAGCCAGCACTGGGCTCCTCGTCCCCATTCTCCCTTCGACCCTGCCCAGAACTGCTTGTTCCCCCTCAGCTAGATCCGCTGCGGGGAAACCCCAAGAGAGAGAGAGCCTGGCAGGGGTCTGGGGATGCCCACTCGGCCTCTGAGGCTCCCTCTGCAAGCTCTCCACTCAGAGCGGGACCCTCCGTGCCACAGGCACACTGGCTGTAGGGCCCTGGGCAAATCCCTTAACTGGCTGGACACTGTCCCTTTACCAGTGAGCAACCGTGTCAGGCAGCAGGCCAGGCACTGGGGACTGGGAGAGAAAAACAGGCAAGAGCCCTGCTCCTCCGGGCTGCCCACACTTGCCATCTATGTGGGGTGCTCATGGTAACAGGGAGGTTGCCACCATACGACTGCCCAGGTCCCTTCCTGCAGAAGGGTCTGCCCTCCCGGGCCCCTCCTGCCTGCCCGCTGAGATTCCCAGCCAAGCATGGGCCAGGGCATCGGAAGAAGCCAGAGCAGTTAAGGTCCTTACCCTCCCCAAAACTTTTCCAGGGCTTTCTGAAACCCCCCTTTTCCAGTGACTGGGGGCTTCTCACAAGAAGCGCTTCTGTCCTGCTCAGAGTTAGATTATGGTCTGCAGGGCCCGTCTCTCCTTCCTTGCCTGGGGGCTGGGAGCAGGGGCCAGGCTGCCCACAACGGGGGATGGATGCCTGGGAGAGAGACTGGTAAGTGACAGGTGTGTCCCCAATGCAAGCAAGAAAGTCTGTGCCTGCATGTCGGTTTCAGTTAGGAAAGAGGATTGGTGGGGGATAGAAGAGCAGCCTGAGACACCACTAAACCTCTTCAGTGGCCTGACCCGGGGGTCTCTCAGCGGGCAGGGGTCTCCTCGCCTGGACGGTCCGCCACACGGAGAAGGGGCCGCGGAGGGACAGCCTGACGCGCGGAGGACACAGGCCGGCGCGGCTGCGGAGCGCCACTCCCACCCCGACAGCGGCCTCCGCCAAGACCCGGGATTCGGTTTTTCAGCGCTCTCCGCCAACTGTGCTCCTATTAACTTCAGGCTGGTGACCGCAGCCTCTGCCCCCTCTAGACAGACTGAGGTTGGGCTCTGAAGACTTTTTTTATTTTTTATTATTTTTCTCTCCTTCAGTATTTAGGAAACCCTCCTCCAGGATCTATAATTTGGCCTCCACAAAGGAATGGCCCTGGGGCTGTTTGGCTCCAACTGGGAGCCAGAAACTAATGGGCTCATTAACTAATGGGCAACACGGGTTTGGCTCGGCCTGTCTGGGGGAAGTCACCGCAACCCACAGCTATGAATGCGCGTTTTTTGCCACAACCTGCACAAGGCGTCGTCTCTACGGCCCCCTCCCCTCCCCCTCCGGCCGTCCCCGCTCTCCTGCGCAGGGACGGGGGCTGTGAGGACCGGGGCGCCGCGCAAGGCCCCCTCTCGCCGCCAGGCCTCGCCCGGGAAAGCGGCTCTGGGACCCTCCTGGGGACGCCGAGGCCGCGCCGTGCGGGGCGCGGGGGCGCACCTGAGTTGTAACTGACGATGTCCACCCCCAGGGCCGGGCTCTTCCGCTTCCGGGGCCGCCCCTTCTGCACCGTGCCCGCGCCGTTGAAGTAGGGCAGGGCCAGGCCGCCGCCCTTGGCCGCCAGCTCGGTGTAGCTCAGCGGCGGCGGGTACTCGCCCTGCAGCAGCGCCTCGAAGTGCGCGCGGCAGTACACCAGGCTGTCCTTCATGCCGAAGTGGTCGCCCGTCGTCAGGGTCTTGTTGCAGGTGGAGCAGGTGAAGCAGCTCAGGTGGTAGACGGAGTCCCGGGCGCGCATAACCATCTCGGAGGCGGAGATGCCAAGGTGGCAGCGGGCACATCTCTGCACAGAGAACCTTCTGGAAGGAAAGAGTCGGAGTCGGGGCGCTGGCGGGAGCAAGGCAGGGGCCCTCTCCCACCCGCGACGCCCGGCGGGGCTCGGGCCGCAGGGGCCGAGGCTGCGGCCTGGGAAGGCCCCGCGAGGGCAGGACGGGGGGCCCATCGCGCCATCGATTTTATCTGCTCAGGGACCTGTTCCGGCGACCAAGACCCCCAAAGAAAAGAGAAGCCCCTTACATTAAAGTCAGAAGAACCAGGCAACTGAGCCTCCGTGTTCTTTTCTGTAAAGTGAAGATTAAAAACAAAAACAAAAAAAAACACCAAGCAGACAAGCCTGCCCTGGCTCACGGGGCGCGCGACTGCGCCGCCAAGAGAAAACGCTTAGTCGATTAGAGAATATTCTAGAAACGGAGGAAGCTATTATCCGCATTCCTGGGTGTGTGCGTGAGTGTGCGGGGAAGCTCCCGGACACAGCCTCAGAAAAAGGATAGTTCTGTGGGGGGAAGCGTATTCTCCTTTCACCGCCTCCTCGCTCAGGCCGAGCGGAGCCGGGCTACCTGCCCGGGCTTCTGTCCTCCCCGTCCGGAAATGCGGCTGGGAAGAGGCAAGGATGCTGCCGCCCAGTTTCCCCTCCAGTTTGGAGGTGAAGGAACCCGGAACGGAGTGGCTCTGGTCTGCGCAATGGCATTTATTCCTTTTCATGGTTATTGGCAAGGTCTCCTGCCCCGCCTCCACCCTCCCCAGCAAAGACCCTGACACCCAGGTGCTCCTGCCCGGGCCCCCAGTTCAGTCCCAAGGCCTGGAACTCGCCCAGTTCGTAGTAAGCGGAAAATAGAAGACGAAAATAAAATAAAATAAACGGAGCAAGCCTCGGTTGACGGAGACACATCCGTGCGCTCTCCCCAGCATTTCCCCAGGTTGTGCCGACCCGGTTGCGCGGTGCTGGGGCGCGCGGTCGCGCTCCACACCTTGACGTCCCGCCCACCAGCCCCGCCACCCGCCCGCCTGGGCATTGCAGCTGGGAGGCGACTGCCCCGGGTTTCCCTGCGGAAATGATCACGGGACCCCAGGGGGCAAAAGATGGGGGCGCCAAGAGGAGACTCCAGGCTCAGGTAGGTGGCCCGGCAGGTGTACCGGGCCCTGGGAAGTGGGGGGCGGGGAGTACCTGTAGTAATCCTCCTTGCAGTAAATGCTGCCGTCCTTGGCGAAGCAGGTGAGCTCGGACTCGAGGGCCAGCTTACATTCACAGCACTTCAGGCACCTCAGGTGCCACTGTTTGTCCACGGCCAGCAGGTAGTACCTGTCCGAGATCTTGCCCCCGCAGCCGGCGCACAGGGCGGGCTTCTCGGGGCTGAGCGGGGGCATGCCCTGCAAAGCAAGCGCACTGCGAGGCTGCGGGCGCCGGCGCCGCACCACGCGGGTTCCCTTCCCGGTTCCCTTCCCCGGTTCCCTCCCCGGTTCCCTTCCCCGGGCCGAGCGAGCGCAGCGCGCGTGGGGAGCGCAGCGGGGCCCCGGGCCGTGGCGCACACGCAAACCTGCGGGGCTGGGCGGGGTGGACATTTGCGGCTCGTTCCCTTTCTTCCGTGTCTACCCCATCCCGCGTACGCGTCCTCCCTAGACTATGAAACCTAAAGACACCCCAGCCATCCCGAGAACCTCGCTTGCAAAGGACTGGCAGCGTATTGACTATATAGGTCGGTGGGTGTTCAGAATTCAAGTGATTACGAGCTAAAAATGGTGGCTTTCGATGCACACAGAATAACACAAAGGGAATTATTGGGGAGTGGAAAGGAAACTTAAACTAGCACAGATTGGTTTTGAACAAACAGTATTGCAATTCCATTTCTCTCGATTCTTACAAGCAGCGTTAAAATGAAAAGCAAAAGAGGGATTAGTATAGCCGTGCTCATACCTTGGCTGGCACTGCTTTAGTTAAGGTATGTTTGGCATACCCTGCTGCTCCCTGATTTCAGGGCTCTTAGTCTCTGCACCCCAGCGCCGCTGGTCCCAAAGAGGATCCGTTGCCGGGTCCCCTCGGGACAGTCCCTCTCTTCTGGCGTCAAAACACACTCTGAGATCTTTGCCCTGAAAATCTGCTCAGTGCCCAGGTGAGCCTGGCCACCTGGGCCCCGGCTGCCGCCACCAGGCATGGTAACCCCCACCTTGACTAGCCCGGTCACGCCGCGAAATTCCGGTCTGGGTTGCTGCTTTTTTTATTATTATTATTTTTACACAGGATAACCAGGAAAGGTAAAAAGAAGTTAGCCGTTGGACATCTTCCTCCAGACTAGCAGAAGTGGGGTGGACTTCCCCACAAAACTTTGGCGGGCCTGGAAAAGTAAAGTTTAGCCCTTGACCCCCGACCAGGGCCCGCGACGGATTTTAATGCTGCAAACGGAGGAGACATGGCCGCAGCCCGTGCAGGACGCAGCGCACCGCCGGGCCGGCGAGAGCAGCTCCGGGTAGTGGGAGCCATGGTTCCCGGTGTGACACCAAGGGACCCTCACAGCTCTGTTCAGCTGGAATCATTTCGGGAGACTTCCCTGGCTTTCCCCCCTCCCGCCAGAGAGAAGGAAAGGGAGGCATTTAGGTTACTAACTGGTTTTCTTCACTAAGAGCACACGGCTCTTACTAGAAATCGCAGCCGCAGTAGTCGTTGAGTCGATCTTTTAAGGGCTAGAAAGTCCTTGCATTTGGACCGGTGGCTCCGCCGCCCGGCGCCTGACACCCGCCCGGCCCAGAACCTAAACGCAGTCCCGAGTCGCAGAGACACCGAACCGCGACGCCAGAGCTCCCCGACCGTCCCTGGGGTGGGGGTGCCGAGCCGGGGGCATCTGGGGGATTGCGGGCGGCCCAGCGCGCCCGCTCCAAACGCCCGGACCTCGGCCGGGAGACTGAGGCCAGCCGGCTCCAGCGTGGCCCGGACGCCTCCGCGGCGCGCAGCCCTCTTCTGCTCGCGCCCAGCATTGCCGGGGGCTGCCGGCCCTCGCCGGGGACGCACCCCAGCATCAAGGGGGACCGGAGTTTTGGGGGTTGCAGGAAAGAACAACAACTCCTCCTGCCGCCCCCAGCTCGCCCTGCTGGCTCGGGAACCGCTGCGACAAAGGGCAGCGAGCTCGGGGTCTCAGTGGTGGAGGCGAGTCAGAAAGAAGGCTGTTGCTTAGCCTCACAGACCCCGGCGGACAGGACAAAACCCGCCCGCCAGCCTCAAGCGGACGTCCCTGCGACCCTCCACCCCTCGCCCCTGCCGGCCGGGGAGCGCGCGGGGCGCCCGGTGCCGCCGCGGCCCGGCCCTTCCTTACCGCGTCGCGGCCGTTGAGCTGGGCGCCTTTGGCCAGACGGGCCTCGCTCTTGGATCTGCGCTCCATCTCCTCCATGATTCCCTGGATGTGGCCTCCGGAGATCCCGTGGAAGAGCATGGCTGAGGGGCGGAGGGGACACGCGTCGTCTTCTGCTCGGCACCCCACTATTTCCATGCACCCGCCCGGGGCGCGGGGCGCATCCGAGGGAGGGCGCGGAGGGCCGGCGGGGGCGGCGGGCGCGGGGGCGCAGACGCGCTCGGGACGGAGGGCCGGCGGGAGAGGGAGGGGAAGAAAGAGGCGGACAGAGTGGAAATCGGGCTGCTTGAGGGGGGAAAAAGGGCTAGAAAGCGGAGGGGGAAGGAAAAAACAACAACAACAAGCCCAGCGTCTCCCCGAAGGAGAAGTGCAGAAAACAAACACACACGGGCGGAGGGGAAGGAGGCGGAGAAGGCGAATCTTATGCTCCGAGAGAGATCGAGTTACTAATGGGAAACAACTGCGGGGGGGGGGGTGTTGTGGGAGGAAAACAAAATCTGGTGAAGAAAGAAAATAGTTTTGAACACAAAGGAAGAAGAAGAAGAAGAAGAAGTGCTATTTCCAGCGGTCCCCGGCTGCTCGCGAGTTCCCAGAGCCTGCAGGTTGGGTTGGGGACTGGTCCTGCCTGAGCCGTGTCCAATTTGTTAAGAGACTAAAGCCAGCCCATTTTTGATAATTTAGTAGGAGGAGTTCTCTCCCCGGAGCCGCCACGGATTTTTATTCAGACAACAAAGACCTGTCATACTCCTCTCAACCCCCTGGTGATGGGCTCGCAGGGACAAACATCACGAAGGGGTGGGGGGAGAGAGAAGGGGGCGGGGGTGGGAGGGGGCGCCTGCCTCCCACAACACACACACACACACACACACACACACACACACACACACACCCTTCCAAGAGTTCCCCGCAGTCGCGTTTTAAAGGGGAAAGGGAGACCTCATTGTCTCCGCCCTGGCTGGCGCAGAAGAAGGCCCAGAGCCGGCCTGCTTGATCTGAGTTCGAGGTCACACCCTGGCACGGGCGCACACACAGAGCATCAGCTCCAAACTTTGGGTTTCCTCCTGGTGGGCTCTGTCATGCCCAGCCTACAAGGACCGCCACCCGAAATGCACAAACATTGGTGGTGGAAACTGAGCCCCTCGCTGAAGCGAAGATAATAATGCTCCTTCCTCTGCTCCCCTCCCCAGCTTGCTCACCCCGCTTTTTAAAAGCAGCTGTCAGACAGTTCACCCCTGCCTCGCCTCCCCCCAGACACCACGGCCCTACCAGGCTCTGGAGCTTCCCTCCGAGGCGGAAACCGGGCATTGGGAAAGCCTACGTGGAACGGGGGTTACTTTTTGCAAAAAAGGTCTTCTAGAAAATCAGAGTGAGTGTGCAAACTGAACCCTTGACCACGGGGAGGTTTATTCTTACACAACTGATGTTGGAAGGAAAACTACTTGGAGAAGACTGTAATGTCCCGTCTGAAACTTGTCAACGTGGGCCGTGACTGAGGGGGGGGGGTGTTCCTGGGAACTTGGCGCCTGCGCCCCCCCAAGACCAGGCACCGCGGGCCCCATGGCACGCTGCTCCCGCGACCCACGCGGGACAGGCGACTCGCCAAGCGGACGCCCCTGCACACTCGGGAGGGTGTGGACGGGCTCCCGGCTGGGGGCAGGGGGAAGGTGAGAGCCGAGGCGCGGAGTGGCAGACCTGCCCCTCACAAGAGCCCGGCTTGTTCTGTCGCCCTCTGTCCCGGCTGGCGGCGGCCCCTCCCTGGCCCCATTAAAACGTGTCCACAATACTCTGATTCTGTCGACTCATTCTAATGGCCGGAGCCCCCCTGGGGGCCCCAAGTGGAATCAGCCCGGCTTCCCCGAGAGCAGGAGGAAGCCCCGGGGTCGCTCTTGGCTGCTGTCGTCTGGGTCCGCCTGTGCTCCCCGCCGCGTCCCCATCCAGACACCCCCGGGCACCTCGCGGAGCCCGCGCCCCGCAGACCCGCTTCCTTCCGCCCGGGGGAGCCCGACTGGAACCGCGGCCAAATCCCGAAAGACGGAGGGAGGGAGCGAGGCAGGAGGAAGGGAAGAAAAAAGGAAGGGAGAGGATGAGGATGAGGGGGAGGAAGGAAGGAAGGAAATGGCAGGGGGGATAGAAGGGGGCAGGAGCGCAGCCCGGGCCAGAGCAGCAGCCTGACTTCCTGCCCGCAGTCGCCTCTCGCGTGGGACTCCAGACTCCGCTGCTTCCCCTCCTTTTTTCTCAGGGTCAAAAATGATGTTATTTGCAGGCTGGACGCTGTGAAGGTCCTCCGGGTGCCAGAAAGCAGCTCGTAAAACACGGTTTCACACGCAAACGAAGCCAGCCAAGCGGACTAAGCTGGAGCTCCCCCACCCAGGCTCTGGCGGCCCTACCTGACAGCAGGACCGCTATTTACTGTGAGTAATGTAATTAGCCCTTCGCCCGGGAAGCAATGGGGTCTCCAGACACGCGCGCAACAAGCGGGCCCCGGGGAGGGGCGGGGGCAGCGGGCCTGTCGGAGACAGCAGGTCCTCCCACGAAGGGGCAGGTTGCCCTGGCACGAGTCAGCCCTACCCTGACTCAGAGCCGAGGAGGAGGAGGAGGAGGAGGACGAGGAAGGGTCTCTGAGAACGTCAGTTAACCCAAGAAAGCGCTAAGCAAAAAGTAAACAGAGGACCTGAACCCACTTTGTCTGCTTTCTGCACTCAACCCTCCCGCGTGCACCGAAGGGGGCGGTTGGAAAATTGGGTTTGGTGGTTGTTGGATTTTAGTGTCCAGCTCAGCAAAAGCAACAACAAAGAACCCAAGAACACCACTCCTTCTTCTCCTAGCAAGAGATAAAACTTGGGAGACTGCAGGAAGGGGAAAGTGTGACATGTGCAACTCCAGGAGAAAGCCAGAAACGTCGTGAACAGCCCCCCGGGGAAGCCAAGCACAGAAACCCCTTGTGGGCCAAGCCCCACAGTCATTTGTTCACCGTCTACTCCGCCTATACCTGTTAGCCCTCTGCCGGGCACAGGCAGGGCAGAGCGCTTTCTGCAACCAGCTTCAGAGCTGAGTCCCAGCTACGCCTGCTCTTTCTTATAAAACTCAGGTTTTAAGTTTCTGCACCCAGAGCCTCAGCATTGCCAAGTTCCCTCCTTCTCGGTGAATGCAGGAAGTGTTCGGAAAGCTGAGGGTGGTGCCTGGGGCCTGCTGCAGTTTGGGAGGTCCTTGTTAGCTGTGCAGAAATAGCTGCCCGTCCTTCCAGCCCTGCCTCCTCTCCTAGTGACTACGGAGGAAGCAGCCCACTGGGGGGCGGGGGATGCCCCAAGAATTGGGTGTGACTTCTGATGTTCTAAACTCTCAGTCTAGGAGCCCCCCCCCGGAGATTGCCTAAGAGCCCCCCTACCCCACCCCAATCCCCAAGGCTCTTTAAACAAACACTTTAAATAAGGAGAGTGTCCTTCAGCTCCGCCTGCTTTCACCTGGCAGCCCTGGACCGGAGAACATCCCCCTTCTCCCAGCTCCCAGCGGAATGCCCTGCAAGTGTTCTGTAGAAGTTGGCATGTTCGCAGGTTCCGCTCCTGCAGCCCTCCTCACTCCATGGGCAGGTGCACAGGTGCACAGGGTCGACTCTGCAAGCTCAGAGAGT